TTGCATGATCGAGGAAAATCAGACGTGGGAACTATAAACCAAACCATCGAATAAAAGTGTTATTAGTGTGAAATAAATATTTAAGACAAAGTTTAATGCAGATGGATCAATTCAAAAGTAAAAAATTAGATTAGTCACTAAAGGACATTTACAACAATTTGGCATAGATTATAATGAGACTTTTCCCTCAGTATTAAGACAAGATACGATCAAAATCATTGTTGCTCTAACAACAAAAAAGATGCAAGATTTATCAACTTTATGTGAAGTTTGCCTTTCTTAATGGCTTTCTTCAAAAATAAATTTATGTTGAACAACCCCCAGGTTTCGAGATCAAAGGAAAATAAGACAGTTTTAAGACTGAAAAAGGCTTTGTATGGTCTTAAGTAGGCTATTCGAGCATGGTATAGTCGAATTAATATGTATTTTATTTAACAAGGATTTAGAAGAAGTCCAAATGAGGCTACTTTATACATAAATTCAGAAGAATCAAATATCGTTGTCCTCTCACTATATGTTGATGACCTTATTATTACGGAAAACAATCCATCTATGATAAAAGTATTCAACTAAGATATGATGAAGTAGTTTGAGTTGATTGATCTTGGCATGATGAATTACTTTCTTGGCATGGAGATTAATCAAACTAATGAAAAGATCTTTATATGTCAAAAAAAAAATATGTCAACAATATTTTAAGAAAGTTTAAAATGGAAAATTCCAAGCATGTTTCAACACCTTGGCTCAAAATGATAAATTTTCTAAAGAAGATGACTTTGGAGAAGCTAATACGAAGCAGTATAGAAGTATGATTGGTAGCTTATTGTACCTAACAGCCACAAGGCCAGACATGATGTAAACTGTAAGTATGTTATCCTTATTTATGCAAAAATCAACCCAAGTACATCTACAAATAGTTAAAAGAGTTTTTCACTACTTAAAAGGAACTTCAAACTACGGGATTTGGTACCATCATATTGAAAATTCAGAGTTGATTGGTTATTCAGACAATGATTTGACAAGATATTTGGATGATATGAAGAGTACTTTAGGCTATGTATTCTCACTTGAAAATGGTGTATTTTCTTGGCTTAATAAAAAATAAGATATTATGGCTCAATCAACAATCGAAGCTGAGTATATAGTAGTATGTGCTTCTGCAAATCAGAAAATTTGGCTAAGAAGAATTTTATCTGAAATGAGTGCAATTCAGAAACAACCCACCAAGATATTTTATGATAGCAAGTGAACAATAGCTATTACAAATAATCAAGTTCAACATAAAAAGACTAAACAAATCAAAATCAAATATCATTTCGTTTGAAAAGATGAAAGTGAAGGAAAAATCAGTCTAGTCCATTGCAGCTCAGAAGAATAACTAGCCGATATATTCACTAAAGCACTTCCAAAAATGAAGTTTGATTTCCTCATAAATAAACTCTGCGTTCAGAGGAATTTCTTCAAGAAGGAGTGTTAGAAAATAAAAAAAATTCTTCAGCCATCATTTCATAATTACTGTAATTAAATTATCTAAAATTTAAATGGTATAAAATATAAATTATTTATAACCACAGAAATATTTATGGTTGTAACTTATCATTTACTTGTATAAATAGGTGTTTGTAATTCATTAAATAGAACATCAAATAAAAATATATATTATATAAAACATATTTCATTATTCTCCATTTCTTTTGTTATTTTAAGCACTATTTGCACAATTGTCTCCAATATTACCAACAATATGCAAATCTTAATAGAAGAAAATCCTATATGTGTCATCTGTGAATAGAGAAAGTCTCATAAGCAACTATTCCCATCAAAGTCAACTTGGAGAGCAAAACAAAAGTGAGAGTTAGTCACACATATGTACATAGCCCCATGGGCATTGAATCTTTCAACAAAACAAATTTTTTGTGCTCTTCATTGATGAGTTTAGGAGAATTATCTAAGTTTAAATCTTGAGAAGTAAAGCACAAGTTCTTAGTGTTTTTAAAATATTCAAGAATATGGTTAAAGGGCAAAATGGATGTTGATAAAATGTTATAAGGTTAGAAAATGAAAAAGAATACACTTCTCAGAAATTTCAAAAGTTATGTGCAAATCAAGGCATCATACACCAGTTGACCGTGAATTTTTTACCTCAACAAAATGGTATTTCAACGAGAAATAACATATTGGTGGTTACGGTAGGAAAGTGTTTGATGAATGATAAAAGTTGCCTAAAGAATATTGGCTAGAAGCTATGCATACTTCCAGTTTATCTGTTAAATAGATTGCCAACTAAAGTACTTAAAGGAAAAACTCCAATAAAAGCTTAGTCATACATGAAAACTTCAGCAAAACACTTAAAAAATTTTAGTTCTTTATGTTATGTACATGTGCATGTAGTAAAAAGGACCAAACTTAATCAATAGGCATAACCAAAGATCTACTTAAACTATATAATAGCCTTAAAAGATTATAAGATATATAACTTGAAATCAAGTTAGATTCAAGTTAATAAAGATGTCAAAGTTGATGAATATACTCATTGGAATTGGGGGCAAATAAAGACTGAAATAAATAGAGGAGGAGATTTGAAGTAGA